GTATTGTGGTCGTTTAGATAGTTTGTAATCATTCAATACTATTATTGTTAATGACAGAGTCAGGCAATAGATCATTTATTAGGGAAAATCAACACATATTTATAGATTTTCATGTACATTATTATAGATTATTGTTAGCTGACAAACACAGTCTTCTGATTGGTTGTTTCCCACTGGAAGTTAATCTTTCATCCCTTTGTGGCTGTTTCCTGAATGTCAGATCATCGTTAGTGTCGTCCGCCTGTAGTTGAAACGATGCTTCCCAGATCGGTAGGTGGGTAGGTAAAGGAGGTTGTTTCTTTCAGGTTCCTTCCATTTATGCTGGCTGATTGTTGTCTGTTGTTGTTGTTGCTGTGGCTGTTGGTGTTGGTGTTGGCCAGGAATCTTCATCACCTCTGTTTTCTCTATGTTCACCTGAAGTCCAATCTTCTCTGGATTCTTCTTCTGCCAACTTGTTTCTGCTTTTCACTTGCATATCTTCCAGTTTGTGGGAAATCAGACATATATATGTCATCAAGGGCGAAGTCCAGATCCTCCAAGTCTCTTTTTGTGTGAGTCCATTTTATGCCTGTTCCCTAATTTCCCGCTGTTTGTCGCATTATATAATCTACTGCAATCAGGAAGATCATTGGCGATAGTAGACAGCCTTGCCTCACTCCCGTCCTCACTTCGTAGGCTTCCGTAAGTTTCCCGTTGTGGATTACTTGGCATACAGAATTGTCGGATGAGATGTATAATTGTCGATGGGACCTCTTGGTAGTAGAGCGAAGCAGTTTCCGAATCACCTCTCGATCGACGCTGCACTATCGAAGGCCTTTTCAAAGTCGATGAAGTTGAGTGAGGTGAAGGGGTGACTGCCATTCCAAGCTTTGTTCAATGATGATCCGTAGAGTGGCGATTTGATCAATACATGACTTTTTTCTCCTGAATCCAGCTTGTTCCGGTCGGAGTTTTTCATCTAGGGCTTGTTTGATTCTCTCCAGTGTGAAACGGCTTAGTATTTTTCTTGGGATGGACAGGAGCATAATTCTGCGCCAGTTTTTGCATTGACCTAAGTCTCCTTTCTCTGGTAGTTTGAATAAGTATCCTTTCTTTTAATCCCCGGGTACTTTGCCCTCCTTTCACACCTTCGCCAGCAGTGGCCTCATCAAGTCCGCTGTTGTCTCTGGGTCCATTTTCAATGCTTCTGCGGGGAATCCATATGGTCCTGCTGCTTTTTCAGCGTTTAGCATCTTGATTACATTCAAAACTTCTGATTTTGTCGGGGGGTCGATGTTCAGTGGTAATTCTGCTTCCGTTGTTGGTATTGTTGGGCGAGCTGTAGATGGCGGTCGATTTAGAAGTCTTTCGAAGTGTTCAGCCCAGTGTTTTCTTTGCTCCACCTCTTTGGTGATTGACTTTCCATTGTCATCCTTCACTGGCTTATCTGTGTCGAACTTTTGCCCGATAGGTTCCTAGTTGTTTGGTAGAGTTTGGCGAAGTCTCCTTTGCCTGCAGCTTGTTCTGCTTCACTTGACATGGCTTCATAATATTTTCTTTTGCCTTCATTGGGACTCTTCTTTACTCTTTTGTTCAGCGTATTGTAATTTACATGCAAATCCTGTTTTCGTTGCTCGTCGGTGCACTGGATAATCTTTTGTTTCACTATCCTTCTTTCTTTTATTAGTTTCCAACTGTCTGTAGTGAACCACTGTTTGTCCTGTCTCTTCTTTCTGCCCAGAACTTCCATGCAGGTTCGACTCCACACCGTTTTCAAGTTGTCCCAGTGCTTTTCGACGCCGACCTCTTCGCTAGTGTTCATTTGTGTCTCGGCTTTCTCCTTCATGCTTGCAATGAAGATGTTCTTTTTAGCCTGGTCCTTCAGTTTTTGAGTGTTGAACTTGGCTTGTAGTCTGTCTGCAGCTCCTGTTTCCCTGGAAGCTCTAAATTTGATTTGGATTGTCCCTTGTACAAGATAGTGGTCTGAGCCAACGTCTGCTCCTCTTCTTGCTTTTGTGTCGAGTAAGCTGCGCCTCCACTTGCTTGGGCAGCATTGAGATGAAATCAATTTGGTTTTTGGTTCGCCCATCTGGTGACACCCATGTAGCCTTATGGATATCTCTGTGCGTGTATACACTGCCACCAATGACTAGTTCGTTGAAGGCGCAGAAGTCGGCGAAGAGTTCTCCATTTTCATTCATTTCTCCGAGAGCTTCTCTACTCATGATGATTTATCTTCCTTTGTTGTCTGGTCCCAATTCGGCGTTCATGTCTCCCATTAGTATTTTAATGTTACCAGCTGGAGTATTGTCCATTGTTGCCTGTAGTTGTCTGTAGAATCCTTCTTTCTTTTCGAGGTCTGTGTTGTTTGTGGGTGCACAGCATTGTATAATTGACACTTTCCTTTGGTGTTAAATCTGGAGGTCATTATCCTGGACGAGATCGCCTCCTATTGCATGAAGGCCTTTGTTGTCGTTGATTACATCATGATAGCCACGCCCTCCGTGTGCGTGTGGTTATTTTCTGGGTGACCGGAGTAGATCACTGACTCACCCGTTGACAATTTGGTGAGTCCATTCCCCTTCCATCTACTTTCACAAATCCCCAGTAATTGAATTCCGTATCGTTTCATTTCAGAATGTCAAGGAATAAAATAAAAAACAGTCATAGTGTAACCTTCTGAGAATAGTGTTTCTACCCACAGATCAATCAGTATACTCGCTAGGAATCCATACCTTCCTGACTTCTGCTTCTTTAGATTCAATACCAGTCATTTAGGCTTTCAGGATAACAGCAGCGGTTCACTAGTTTCCTAAGGAGTAATCATGACATTTTTTGTAGTTCTTTGGACACTGTAAATTAATGATAAGGATGCTTCTAGCATCTTAATAGACATTCAAAATAGTTCTTTCTCCTCCCAGCTTACCCACCAACTCAGCAACTGCCTCGAAGTTACGTAAGAAGCTCCGTATGTCCACTTGTTCAAACGCAGTTGGCCATTATATCTTCATTGTTCGGAGGCAGCTGTACCAATTGTAACGAGAGAAGGCAACAGTTCGTTTTTTAAGGAAATCAACACATATTTATAGATTTTCATGTACATTATTATAGATTATTGTTAGCTGACAAGCACAGTCTTCTGATTGGTTGTTTCCCACTGGAAGTTAATCTTTCATCCCTTTGTGGCTGTTTCTTGAATGTCAGATCATCTATCTGCTAATTGTATCCGCCTACGCAAAGTCTGCTCTCAGTCTTTGTTCTTGTTTTCACATGACTTGTTACTTTTTTTTATTGTTTTTATATAGTTTTCTGATACGCTTTTCAAAATCATAGGTCGTCACTTTTACCTTCAGCGTTTGTTTCGCTTATATACGCTTATTTCAAAATTACTTCTGACGCAACATGGTCAGCGGAATATTAAGTTAAAATGTGTTTGTTACCAACGTCTCTGAAATGACCTCATTGTTTCACATTCTCCCAACTTTTAAATGTAGCAGCACTAAATTTATTAAATTAATCCCCTAACTGTAATGTAAAAATGAGGATAAAAGTTTTAAAAAAAGGTGATGTATATATGCACAGTTATATTCACATCCGATCACAGATAAAAGTGCATCTTCAGCGTGTTATTATTTATGAGCGAGAAAAGTTATTTTATATATTGTTTGTGTGATTTTAAAGCTCATTCGTGTATTATTAGAAGAGATACTTGTGCATTAGGGTGGAAACACTACTATGGTAGATTATATTTAGTTTAATATGTGGTCCCATTACACTGTGCCTACAGAATGTGGGCTACCTGAGCATCATTTGTGTGTTTCTAGTTTTTAAAATAGTAGTAGTGTACGCTATGCAGACTGACCAGGTGTGATTTGAATCTTAACCTATTTTGATGCAAATTATTTTCAACCATTCAAACACTGTTGGTGTGGAACTGAGCATTAAGACCACAATAATAATATATCACTTACAACCACTGTAAATAACACAAATGCATTCAATGGTTATCTTTCTATATTCACCGATAGAAATCACATTGTCTCAAATGTGTGTTTCTTCTTTAACTTCTTTTGTTAACTAGCTCTACATATATGGTTGGAAACAATTGGTGACATGGCTCAAAATCGTTCTCAGTGGCGCAGATGCATCCACTCCTTGTGACTTATGATCTCAAATGAAACTGTTTTGTTCTTCGTTATTACTCCTCCTTTGTCTCACACCTCTGCTCACTGTTTCTATTATGCTTTTCTTGTACTTTCTTCTCTTGCTTCGCGTGCTACACGGAGTGTGGCGACTTGAACTTCCGCACATTTGTGCAAAGTTCTATGTCGAAAACAGACAGACAGACATATGCTGCTTCGGTGTAAAAATTCGAATTGAGGTTTCATTATTGGTGAAATTTTGCTAGTCATTCAGTGAATGCGTTGAGTTGTATCAAGGCTATTCCTTGAATTTCACTACTACTACTACTACCACTGCGTACCGATGAAGAGTCCCAAACTAGGACGAAACGATTGTCCAGTACCTCGAAGTTCTTCAACGCTTCTTGAACTCGTGATGAAATCTTGTAACCAATCAAAAACCCTGCGAACCAACATTATTATTATATTGTGATTTGATAACACTACCTAAGCAGACCTACTTTAAAAAAAAAACTTTGTCTAATATTTATTCCAATATACTGACATCTTTTTCGTCCTTTAAAATAAGCTTTGTTTCGCAAAATTTTCTCATAAAAGTTTCAACTTTACAACTTACTGACATATAAGCCTGTCGAATCTGAAGCTCTAACACTATTCGACTTACTGTAATAGCGCAGTAGGAAGTGTGCGCATTTATTCCGTTTTAATTGTTGACGAAAAAAAGGAGTGTTCTGTGTGTGTGTGTGTGTGTGTGTGTGATGTACAGCCTACTTGAGTACACATGATCATATCCCTGTGTCAATTTTCCTGAACGTATAACTTCACATATTTGTGTGGAAAACAAACACTTTCATTTCATTTATTTAAAAAAATTATCAGATATCTTACCGGTGGACAAAAACTGATTTGGCATTCGTATTAACAGCTATGTCTAAATATGGACATGATTTTGCCACAATTGCCCAGAGTGTCGGTACAAAATCAGAGAGTTTTATACGTGACTTTTACAACAGATTTCGTGACCGTTTCACACTGGACAGTATAATAAAGTGAGTCTGTACTCTAAAAATATAATTTATATATATATCTTTTTTATTTTAATTTAACGAGCAAAGTTTTATGAGCAAAAGCGGAAGCATACTCTTTTCTTTTCCATAAAAGAAGAATTAACCTTAAATACTGCAATGACTATCTGTCTCCGTCTGGATTCGACATACAACTTGGCACCGAAGTGCACCAGTTCGACTTGCCACCTTACAAATAGCACACAAAGGTAGATAAGCAGATGAGTGAAGAGAATTAATAGAGTTTTACAAGTATAAGAGCGAAATAGAATGGGTAATGCTAGAAAGGAATATGGAAGATTAGAGACTGAATACATCTGCACCATTTGCAATGATTTTGAGCCATGTGTCACCTATTGTCCCCAGCCATTGATTCCTAGAGTCAGTCCCGAGGGCCCCAACCCGGAAGTCTGCATCTCCCTACCTACCTGATTCAGTTTAACTGTCAAGGATTTCATGGATTGATGCCATGCCATGTTTTTGTTTGGCCACCACTGGCTCTTTTCCAACCTGCACCTATATCAGCTAGCAATGTCCGTCGGGGGAGGCGATGGTTAGGCACGTGACCTAGCCATCTCTCAATCTATGTAACTTTATAGCCTCGTCGATTGATTTTCCCTCTCTGCCCAACACTACGCCTAACGTCAACACTACTTACCTTATTAAACCACCTAACGTGAGACAGAGATCGCAGACATCTATGATCGAAAGCAGTCAACCTTTTCATGTCTTCAACGCGTATTGGCCATGTTTCAGAGCCATAGAGAGGGACGGAGCGAACTACTGAGCAGTACACACGTCCCTTGGTTGATAACCGAATGTCACGGCTACGCCAGAGGTGGTGTAAGTCAGTGAAAGCAGCTCGAGCTTTTCGGATCCGTGCTGAGGTTTCGTCGCCAGTCAGTCCGTTAGTGCTGATACAACTTCCCAAATAGGTGAAGTGGTCAACATGTTCTATCACTTCACTCCCTATCACTAAGCTAGGAGTTGACGCAGTCCAGTCCTGTTGCAGCATCTTACATTTTACAGGGGCGAATCGCATGCCAAACATATGAAGATTGCTGCTCAAGGTGTTCAGAAGACTCTGCATTTTGTCAGCATCCTCCCCTAACAGGACTACGTCATCTGCATATTCTAAGTCCATAAACCTAGACCCTGGTAACAAGTCGATTCCTAAGTGGCGAAGTTAAACTTTCGACACCACTAACTACCAATCAGCGAATTATCCAATGAGATTCACGAACGATGTCGAATTATCCAATGAGGTTCACGAACGCAGTTCAATGTTGTATAGCGCCTGATTCATTTCTAATGCGTGACCTTACAAGGCTGTTGTTGCAATTCGAGGAGGTTAGTGTTTCCCAGTATTTCCTAGATTTCAGTTGCTCCGGAAAGGACGAATTTGATTGTGTGGTGGTATCATGACTTTAAAAAGCTAAACCAAATCAACTGATGGGTTTGTTCATCGTTGTGCTATATGTTTGAAGCCTACTAACACTAGAGAGGGTATGCTGATAATTTTATTATTTCGTAGGAACTTTTTTCGCTAGTTCGCTTCTCTCCCTAAGGATAGCAGATAGGAAAGCAACTACTCTTATACCTATTGTTACCAGAATTGTTAAGCGGGGGTCAATTATACACACAGAAAGGCTACAATTCGCTGTCATCTCTGGGATATATTCATCGTAGAGACAACCATTCAAGTGATTTTGTGGATCCCGTTACGAGGACACATACAAATTCTAATGAAGGATTTTGGGGCAGATTGGAAAATAGGATAAGGGCTATAAATGTATCTCAAAAGGATCTCATTTATAGTCATTTGGATGAATATATGTACAGGATATGGTGTAACTTCTCCATTGACAGTCCCATGCTAAACTGGGAGATTTTTCTCTCACATGTTCGAGAAAGATATCCCATGTAACCTTTTTTATTATCTATTTTATGCTTTTTTCTATAAATATACATTTCCATTCATCATATATGCCTCTTTAATGTGATTGGTCCGTTCGAGGTCGTTTGCTGATTGGTTGTTAGTGGTGTCGAAAGTTTAACTTTGCCTCCTAAGTCATTAAGTTCAGGTAAGGATACTTCCATCAGCACATCTATGATGAAGTTCAACAAGAATGAGGAAAGTGGACATCCCTATCGGACACCCTGGTTGTTACCAATTCAGATGACAATTCCCCATAAGCCCTTACACGGCTACATGAGTTTGAATAGAGTGCCTTGATTAGTGCAATGTACTTTCTTGGCACTCCCTTCACAGTCAGACATTGCCATAATACCTTTCGATCCACGGAGTCAAAGGCCGCCTTCAAGTCAAGAAATATGGCAATTGTTGGACGCCGAAAAGTGTGTCTGTGTTCTAGAATCTGTCGGAGAGTGAAGATGTGATCTACCTGGTCTAAAGCCTCCTTGATTTTCCATCGTTTGTTCCTCCCGAGTTCTGCTTAGTCTATGCATGATTACTGAGCCTAGGATTTTAGAAACTATGTTCGTTAGGCTGACCCCCCTATGATTATCACACGAGGACTTGTTTCCCTTCTTGAATATCGGTATAATAAGTGACTTACCCCAGTCTGATGGAACCGTTTCTGATTCCCACACGTTGCCTAGTACCTTAGTTAATCTACATACTAGTATGTCACCCCTATGTTTAAACACCTCCGGAATAATTCCGTCGGGTCCTACCGCTCTGCCTCGTTTCAAATTACAGATAGCTTTTGTGACCTCACAGACGGCGGACCAGTTTCTATATCCCATTCGGGTGTGTGCTCATCCATGTGTTTTACTCACCTTTGAACTTTCCTTATTCATAGCTTTTACAGCTGTATCTATGGCTGACTGAATATTCTTCCTAGCGTCTTTAGGGTGAGCACAGCTGTCAAACTCAGATATGTGTTTAGCTAGTTCTTCCTCAAATGGGGTGAATTTTACAGATTCAACTTGTTGGCCAGGTGGGTTTAGGTGAATAACCACATTCGGGTCTTGTATGCGTGTTTCTGAAACACAACATAAGTCAATGGCTCGGGACGCCAGTGTCTTGGCTATTGATGCTTGTTGTCCTATTTGGCAAAGTGTCCTAACATTAAATGCTCCTATATGAAATTGGTGGCGTGGCTTTAGGAGACTATCGGTGGTGGCTTTTTGGCTTCCGTCGTTTTTAGTGGACACAGAGCGAAGAGGAAGTGAGGAGCCATTAAGTAGAGGAGTTGTATCAGTGGAAGGAAGGCAAGATAATAGAGATGAAGATAAAGACAAAGATGAGTGAGGATTAGAGAGGTTTTGTGTGCGTTTCGGATTGCGAGGGCGATTGTTACTTCCCGGCTGCCCACACCGTGGAAGTTGGTTGCGTGACCGCAGAGCCCAGGGGACAACTGCTTGACGCCGGTCACACGCGGCCTGTTTTTGTTCGTTCTTTATTGTTTGGTGTGTCTCAGTAGCATATTTATCACTCCTGCCCTGCGACACAGCAGCAGGAAGCGCAGTCGTTGTTAATCCGGGCCCCGGTCGATCCGGCATGATATTTTGTGAGTTTGTATGTATCATAGTATTGGATCGGATAGCTGCTTTTTGTTTAACCGCTATTCAAACAACCTTTCTGGCATAGTAGGACCTCAAGAGAAATAAGTCTCAGCCAGTATAGCTTGGTTAGGTCATTGCGGTGTTGAAGCCCGACCACCACGTCAAGGTAGCAGCTTTCAGTCGGGACTATCAATTGCCATCCATCAGTTTCCGATTCTGCAGTACGAGCTAGGCCGCTACAACTGTGCCAAAAATAACTTCATAGATAAGTCGCTACATAGGTGAAAGTAATGCCCCTAACTAACCTTTGAGGTGTTTTCTCTAGGAATATAGTTGATCGAATTTTGCCGTAAATAGGTCTAATCATCTCCTTCTCTTTCTAGCATGGAGATGAATACACCCTAAGGGTTCTTGATGACCACATTCTACTCTAATCGTAGGATAGTACAACAGTTATTTTGTCAACTAACTGTGAATAATATGAGTAGACAGCTGGCTTAAACTGTTGGAAGAAATGTGTTTGGTGTGCTATTCACTCACTTTCCCTGGTGGTAGTATTTGTTTAATTAAAGAATGAATCCTCTGTTTTCATCAGTATGTTATTGCACCAACTTTTTCCGCTCATATGACAGAAGAGTAACTTTTGAGTCATTTTTTACCTAAATAACCATGATTACTTTAGTTTATGTGGAAATACTTTCTGGACAATAGGTTTCTTCTCTTCATATTGTATATTCAGTAGAGAAACACCGTAAGTAGTGCTGAGATAGATAGATTGCCAATTTTCATCTACTGAAATAATTGTGGTGTATAATAGATGTTGAACCACGGTCGAATGTAACACTAGGTTGGGGAATATTGAGAACTAGTCGGACTGATACATCGCACCGGTGTACCTGTAGTTTCTGTGTTGAGAGTAAGGTAGTGTAAGTTAAAGGATTTAGAATTTTGGGATGCTAAGAATCATTGGTTGGAGACTCTTAGTGAAATGTTTCAAGCTTGTGTTCACAATAGTGCAGTTGTCTTCACCTCCCAAGTTTTTCGAAGGCTACAGTTATTGACCGTTCTGTTACGTCCACGTTTGCTCACTGTATCGGTAGTTTAAGTTTATCTGTTTGAACCTACGCTTTTCTGCGCAGATTACTTCTTTAGTCTCCGTATCCTTGTGATGCTGAAGATATTCATGAGTTGAGAGTTTTAATGTTATATTAATAATATTTAATTGAATTGTTTTGCGACACCTTTCCAAGACATTCTATCATTATAGGTATGGTTCATGAGACCAAGTTTCAGATCACAATGGTGACTAGAACGTCACTAAAGGTACACCATATAGAATGAAAATTCAGAAAATATCTTAACTAAAATACATCAAGATGTGTTGAAAATGAAATGTTATATCTTGCATGTAACTGATTAATTAATTATTATCACTCTTTGTTTATAACTTTTCATAACAATCACTTTCAGATCATCCGATCATACGGAGGAACATTTGACTCAGAATCCTAAAGTAGACGAGGATAGTATTTGCCAAGATCCTTTGGTTGTTCTTACACAAGATCATTTAGATATGACCAAAATATTAACAGATGGGACTTGTGTAAAAGTCAGTCAGTTAGCTGAAGAAATGCCGTCACATCAAAATGAAAATGTGAAGATTGAATACGAGGAACTGAATCATTTAACAGCACAATCGCAAAGTATTTCGGACAGTCAGACTACGGAAGATAACCTGCGTTTATCACCAAGACGACATTCAATACCAATTAAACTTATTGATTCCAGTGTCTTAATACACACACCTATCAGTGAATCCTCACAAATTTCTACAACACCATCCTCCAGCAGTGGTAGAGAAAGACTACGAGCGAAACGTTTAAAACGCAGTTAGCTTTAAATAGAAATATTTGTTTCTTTCTTTCTTTCTTTTAAACTTCTTCCCGCTTATAGTGCAATGCTTGTATGAATGAAAACATTTATGATTATGTTCAATTCAGAAACTGTATGAACAAATAATGTACCAATGCTGTATATCTTCTAATCTTCTAATGTAATCAGTGATCTATACTACTTTGTTTTATGAAATAAATTTGGAAAGTTCACAATACTTTTTAGCAAGGCCTCTGTGATATAACTGACCTATGTTAATAGGAAAGAATCAGTACTTGCAAGTACTAATAACTGCACTGAATCAGTTTAGTTTCTATTCGTGGTGTAAATGCATACGAGTATCGTGTAAATTTGAGTTGACATGATGAAATGTCAGTACAATTCGAAATATTTTTAAGGTAAGAAACCTAACCTTACTTCAGTGTGGTGGCATTGGCATATCCATCCTACTGATTATCAAAATTCTCTGTGATGTTAATTCACTATGGATGAGCAAGATTGACTTTTAAATTAATCTAGGTCTCGTTAAATGATCGACGCTGTATAAATAAGAAAGCTGAAGAGTGAGGTAATCTACCTTCATTTCTGACCACAAATGTAGAGTATCATTATACTATCGCATACTTTCCAGACCAGCATAAATGGAAGTCTTAGCGTTCGAGGTTGACTTCAAAGTTCAGCTGACTAATTTGCTAATTAACTGACTGAATCCCAATATAGAACTCTGTATAGAAGTGCAGCAACACCTGCCACACTCTATGTTGCACACGGACGTAAGGAAAAGATAAATTTAAAAAAAACCCAGCTAAAATGAGCAGAAATGTACGAAAGGAAGAATATTAACGTAGGAATAACATAGAGACTTGATGTATATGAGATTACAATGAATGAATGCATCTGGGCCTTCTAAAAGGATATTGAGTAATATTGTGGTGAGAGCTGGCTGTTAGTCAAAAATGGTGGACAGTAATTTACTTCAATGTTTTTTGTCCCCAATATTGGCCGTGAGAAAAATGAGAACAAAGGCTTTGCGTAGGCAAATACAGTTAACATATAGATGATCTGACATTCAAGACACAGTCACAAAGAGATGCAAGGTTAACTTTCTGTGAGAAACAACCAATCAGAAGACTGAGTTTTTCTGCTAACAATAATCCATATGTCCATGAAAATCTATAAATATGTGTTGATTTCCTTAATAAACGATATGTTGCTTGGCCCTTGTTTTCTGTTGTTAAACTATCACCGAATCTCAAATCATTGGTTTCAAGCATCCCAACCAGGCAGCTTACACCTCTTTGCGCGGCTCGAATTAGCTGTCAAAGCTATCGTGGATTAATGCCAAGTTTTGATTTGACCATCCCTAAATACTTTCCAATACAATCCTATGTCAGCCAACACTGTTCGACAAAGAAGGCGATGGTTTGGAATCTAGCCATCTCAATCGATGCAGCGTCACAACCTAATCGACTAACTTCCGTCCTTTGTCTGTCTGTCTGGATTCAACATACAACTTGGCACCGAAGTGCACCAGTTCGACTTGCCACCTTACAAATAGCACACAAAGGTAGATAAGCAGATGAGTGAAGAGAATCAATAGAGTTTTACAAGTATAAGAGCGAAATAGAATGGGTAATGCTAGAAAGGAATATGGAAGATTAGAGACTGAATACATCTGCGCCATTGACAATGATTTTGAGTCATGTGTCACCTATTGTCTCCAGCCATTGATTCCTAGAGTCAGTCCCGAGGGCCCCAACCCGGAAGTCTGCATCTCCCTACCTACCTGATTCAGTTTAACTGTCAAGGATTTCATGGATTGATGCCATGCCATGTTTTTGTTTGGCCACCACTGGCTCTTTTCCAACCTGCACCTATATCAGCTACCAATGCCCGTCGGGGGAGGCGATGGTTAGGCACGTGACCTAGCCATTTCTCAATCTATGTAACTTTATAGCCTCGTCGATTGATTTTCCCTCTTTGCCCAACACTCTACGCCTAACGTCAACATTAACTACCTTATTAAACCACCTAACGTGAGACAGAGATCGCAGACATCTATGATCGAAAGCAGTCAACCTTTTCATGTCTTCAACGCGTATTGGCCATGTTTCAGAGCCATAGAGAAGGACGGAGCGAACTACTGAGCAGTACACACGTCCCTTGGTTGATAACCGGATGTCACGCCTACGCCAGAGATGGTGTAAGTCAGTGAAAGCAGCTCGAGCTTTTCGGATCCGTGCTGAGGTTTCGTCGCCAGTCAGTCCGTTGGTGCTGATACAACTTCCCAAATAGGTGAAGTGGTCAACATGTTCTATCACTTCACTCCCTATCACTAAGCTAGGAGTTGACGCAGTCCAGTCCAGTAGCAGCATCCTCCCCTAACAGGACTATGTCATCTGCATATTCTAAGTCCATAAGACTATTCCCTGGTAACAAGTCGATTCCTAAGTCAATAAGTTCGGTTAAGGATACTTCCATTAGCATATCTATGATGAAGTTAAACAGTCCTTTGTGTAGCACTCAACGCCTAACCCCAATATTAATCATCGAATTATATCATTTAACACGGGAAATAGGCCCAAACATCTGTGACTGAAGACAGTTGGTCTTTTCAGGTCTTTTCCTAGCTGAAATAACCATGTCTCACAGCCACGAAGAAAGGATACAGCGAACAAGTACAGTACACGCATCCTGTGATTGATAACTTGATATCACGTGTACATCAGAGATGACGTGACCTGGAAAATACCACACCAGGCTTTGGTATTCGTGCTGAGATTTCATCAGCGATCGGACATTAAGATTGACACAACTTTTTAAATAAGTGGAGTGGCCAACATGGTCTACTGCTTCACTATCTTTAAGCCAGGAGTCGGTCTAGTCCGATCCTGTAGCATCCATCTCACATTTGGTAGTGGTGAATCCCATACCACACTTACTCGGTGGACAATATCACCCGCATACTCTAAGACAACAAGACTGTTCCTGGTAATAAGCCAATCCCTAACTCGCTAAAGTTGACTAGGGCACATCCGTTAGTACACGTATGCTAAAAATAAACAAAATGAGATAGTGGGCATTCGAAAAGGCACCATTAGTTGGCATCACTTTAGATGAGAACAGTACATAAGCTCTCACAGGAGCAGGGTGCCTTGATTGATGTGCACTGTTGGCACTCCCCTCATCACCAGACACCTATACAGCACTTCCCCCTCGATATAGTCAAACGCGTCTTCAGGTCAAGTATGACAAGTTTTGGACGCCTGTGAGTGTGCTTAAGTTTCAGAATCTGTCAGCTAGTTAGTAAAGGGTCAATTCACCCTTTTTGTAACTTGAATCCTGCCGGGTTTGCTTCTTCCGAGCACCCCTTAGTCTACACAGGTTTACTGGACCTACAATTATAGATACGATATTAGTCAATCTGACCCTCGATGTTTACCACAGGAAAACTTTTCCCTCGCCGTATACACTGGAGCAATATACTGTTTATAACAGTCTAGTCGAATTGTCTCTGATTCCCAGACATTACCTAATACCTTAATTAACCCAGACCAACAATTCGTCACCATCAGTCTTTGAACATCTCCGTAGTCATTTTATCAAGCACTGATATTTTGCCCATTTTCCAATTAAAGACAAGTTATAGTTGGAACACCTGTCGACATCCTATTCAGGTATGGGTGGCTGTAAGCTGGTCACATTGCCCCACAAATTATTTCCAACGCTCCAGTCTTCTATCCTTAGAGCACTGTTCCCACCTGAAATTGTCTCGACTATCATTCATCTTTCAGTCGTAGAGGTATACGTCCAAAAGTATGTACCGCGGTAGGAGTGTACGCAGGTGTTCCAGAAGGAGCGACAGACTTAACGACCGTCTTCATCGATAGCTTATCTCTATATGATCTGTTTTACTCCGTCGCTGATGATGGAGATCGCTACGTTAAGCAAAGTCTCTTTATGTTGGGGGTTATTACTGATCAGGAACATATGATTACCTAAACAGAACTATAAGTCATGACCACCGTTGTCGGTTCACCTGTACGGGTCCTCCTAGAGACCACCAATACACTTTTATGACTGGGGCGTTGAATTCGCCTGTTGAAATGACTGTATCTGAGCGTATTGCATTTAGCATCAAACTAGACAGCTTTTAACAGGACTCATCCTGCTTCATCCGAATAGCAGTCGGAAGGAACGACGGGTATCCCAATGCTTCCTCCTGATGGATTCGGGCAGCACACAATCGTTTACCGGCTGGGACCCGATCAAGTTGCGATTTCTCCGCAATAATACTCAAAGTTATCCCTACACCTGATACAAGTGATGTGAATTTTGTAGGTTTCTCTTGTTGGGCAGGTGGGGTTGAGAGAATAACTACACTTGGGTCCTTTATACATGTGCCCGAAACAGCCATAGCTCGAGATCATATGGTCCTGGCCGTTGAGTCCTGTTGTTCGAAATGCAGAGTCCTCACGGCGTGGTTTTAAGAGACTACCAATAGTGTTTCAAGGGCTCTCATTGCTATTAACAGTCGCAGAAGAGGTGATGGATCTATCTGTAGAATGAGACTAACAAAAGATGAAAGTGCTTTGAATGGATGTGAGTGACTACCCACCATTAAAACTTCGAGTGTTTATGAAATTGGACAGACGGTTATTACTTCATGGCTGCCCACACTGAAGTTGATTTCTACCTGAAATGCCTAGCGAGAAGCAACACTAGTGTTGCGTAACCCCAGAGCCTACTGCATGAACCCGGCCTGTTTTAATTGGTCTTTGAGTTGTCTGTATTGAGATCTTATTGCCGCAAGGTTAGTCGGGATATCTCATTTTCGGGCCCTACGCTTTCTAAGACCCCCACCCTCAGAATAGAGTAACTACATGCTAAAAATTCCATATTTGTAACAAAAGTACTGTTGGGAATAAAGCTATTATTATTAACATAGCTTCCTGCCTATCTGAGGGAAGCACTATACTACTGTTATATCCCTATTCCCCAGCAGTGAGGCTTCGCCCATAGATGAACATAGTGTAAACGACTTGCAATATGATGGTAACTGCCTTTAGTGTAATCGCTACTCCCAAAGACATGCATACCGTGGTAGGACCGACAGGGAAACAAGTCCCAGCCACTGTAGCTGCTCAGTCATTACAATATGCAAGCCCGGTGACCAGGTCTGTCTTATAAGCGTTTTTGACTATTATGTATACTCAGACCGATACACCACCCCTACGCAATCGACCCTTCTCACTTTGATGGGGTGTCCAACTCACTCAGTAAATACCAGTGACTGCAGCTTTTATCTCTAGGATGAGCATTTCTTCCGTAACGAACCAACCGGATTGTTGCTTGAGATCTTAATTCCCGCCTCTGTCGTTGGGGTATTCGAGAAAATATGACATCAAAAAGACTTACTTTAATGGCGGCATTACTACTCTTGAAGCAATTCTTATGTACGCAGATATCTTTGCAGTTTTTACACCTCTCCCAAAAGCTATTTGACAGAAGTGTACGCAAATAATTATTACTTTCATCAATTCAAAGACTATGTAGGCCACTTTTACTGCCAGATTACCAACGAGTCACGAAGAAGCTTGCCTCACGAACATTTGATAGACTGATTTAATCATAAAACAACAGATCGAGCAATCAAGCCACTTCACAATATATTCAAGTTCATGTGAAATATTAGCTTCTTCTTGTCAGTTATGTTTCCTCATGGCAAATAGTACTTCATCGAAATTGTGCCTATAAATTTAGTCCGGCATTCAGAATGCCTACATGTAGCTTTAAAGCGTCAGAATTAGCTCTACTGATTAGACGTTTCCAAATACTAACGGTTAGATGATTCCGGGGTGGAGATCCTAACTGAGGGGGTTAAGCAGATTACACTGGAGTTCAGCCCTACTGAACTGCTTCCTGAGACACTCAGCACAAACAGACGTGATATTCGCCGTTAACTAACTTGCATCAAATTTGGAACCTATTGCTGAACTAATGTTTCTAAAGTCTACTTATGCACTCTACCACCAACAGACGAGACGCTTAGAGCACGGAAGAGAATATAAAGTAATACACGAGTAATACGTCATCACTTTCACCCTAGTTGGGAAACGAAGCAAATCGCGTTTGACTTAGTACGAATCAGATGTCTGGATTTCAACTCTTCATAATGAGGCGACATATTATATTTTATGACACGGAATGGGTATTCCAGAAATTTTCCAAGTGAATATTACTGAAACATGATTAATACAACTAGCGGTAAGGTAACCTGAAAATGTCCCTATAAAATAATGAACAGAAGATTTAAAAAAGACAGAATGCAGACATTACTTACACAGATATGCGAAAACACAAATGTCAAGTTCAAGACGTCTATCAAGTATTACAGTGAATTGATAAAAATATGGTATAGCAGGAAGTTAAAAGATAAAAACAATTTACGTCAGGAAAAGTTATAAATCAGATTTAATCATGTAAGTTAAAAATGCTCAGTTGTAAAACATATGTATTGCATCCACAGCAATATCTGTCACTCAAACGGCAATAAGTTTTCGCCTTTTTAAAGGAATATTGCTACGCTTAATTACCGAAGAAAACACAATAATTATGTCCATGATTAGAAACTCTGACAAAAAAACAACTAAAATATGAATGTCGTTAGTCAAAAAACTGTTTAGAAAAGAAATATTGCAATCAAAGTAAACAAAGAAAACAATAGAAAATAATATTATAGGATAGAAAGCATTGCATGGAAATCAAAACTGTAGTAAGTAAGCATTCAATTATCATTAAGACATAATTTATTCTCCATTATAAAATAACACTGAAGGAGACAAATTATGATTAAGCAAGTCACATACTAGGAAGTAAAATACTGACAAAAATTAAATGCATTGAAAGCAGGCATGACAAGAAAATTGGGAACTTCATTAGCAAAATAAATGATTAGTTTGGGTGATGGAGACCATTACTGATACCGGGGTATCAAGGAATATTATATTAATATTAATATTGTGTTACAGTTGCCAGGACTGACTTTGTATATACCACATCTTCCAGATATGGGAAAAACCAAACATATACATTGACTGATGGCTAAAATATGTGACGACAAAGGATAAGGATACAATTATGGGATTCATGAAAAAGTCCACTCGAATCTAAGTTTTGCAAACTGACAAGCACGTATCGAGATACACGGAGTGGTACTGAGACACACTAACATATACGAACTGCTTATTATGCAGCAGAAGCCATTCGATGATAGGGTAGTCGCACAGGATTTGACTTTATTAAGACATCTGACTAAACGAGTATTCTTGCTGAAGTTTAAGAAAATACATATAATATAAGGAAGATAGTACCAAGTAGCAAACAGGACTATTTTATTTTTTATTTTTTTTATTTTGCGCATTCGCGGTCATGATAAGATATAAGTGGTGAGGGGAATTAAGTGTGCAATATTAAAACGAAAACATACACGATTGCAACACATATTAGGCATCCAACATGAAGACAATACCTTATGTCTTCTTACGGGAAATCATAGTTAAATTTCCGCTAATGCACACAAGTCTATTATCTACTGTAATCATTTGCCTGAATTTTTCACACCACTTAGCCATTATAATATAGGCATTCTACATTGACCTTTCATTAGTATTATTTTGGTCCATAAAGTGCCACGTACCCTCTAGAGTGAATAAATGGACGTCCTCTGATCATTTACTGGTATAGTAAACGGTCTAACAACTGATAGCTTAAAAGGATTAATAAATTTAAATGGAATACCGTGTCTTCACAATTCATCTTGCACAGAACTTTGAATAATTCATTACTATGACCTGGTAAATTCTTCTCAAGTATAGTTTAAAAAATTTGCACACTACATGAAAAACTGAATTTCAAGTACAATACATTGCGATGCAATTAGTTTTCCTCGCTTTACCCGAATACATTGGCGAGAAGTAATTAACATACGTCAAAGGAATTAATGGCGGTAACAATAGCAATAGTTAAAATCAAACAACTCCGTAAACAAGTACGCAGCCATTTACTATGCAACAGTGGAGTACTAACTAATGATGTTCTCGTTAACTGAACTGAACGATTAACAGCTAATTAGCTGGTCTTATAAGACCTATACCTGGGGATGTATTGTTAAGTGGGTGCATTTCGCCTATATAACCAGAAATTATGGAAAACAAAAGGAATAATTATCAACACAGTTTACCGGAAACTGCACGGATCCTGGACCACCAGCTGGACTAGGATTTGAACCGCCACAAACTGACTGCATTGAGGACGGTGGACCCCACTTGACCCTGAGTGCTGCGCACCAGAAGGAACATATTGAGGAGGAGGTGGAGGAGCTTGGCCTTGAGGACCACTACCCATATGTTGTTGTTGCAGGACATTTCCTTGTTGTTGTGGAGGAGGCATCATCATCACAGAGTCCCGGGACCACCAGGGAAACCACTGTTACCTTGTCCAGGTCCATTGCCTCCTGGACCGTTACCAGGAGGATAATCCGAAGGCATTAATGGGGGAGGACCACCTGCTGGACTCATCATATCACATCCCATTCCAGGACCGCCGTGCAGTGGTGAGGCTTTGAGATCTGAACCGGGTGGGTATGGATTTGATGCAGAAGACGGCATGCCACTAGAATAATCTGGGGGAGGAGGCGGCATCATCCCACTACTTCGGGGAGGGCCTACCGAACCATTAAGCATTCCCGAGTCACTGCAACCTGGACCAGCACCAAACATACCATTATCAGGAGTAGAACCAGGCCCACCACCGCTGAAAACGAGATGTGGCGAAGGTCGTGTGGCATATTCTGGAGGGATACAAGAGTTTGAGGTTGGTGGAGTTTGTTGTTGTGGTGGTGGTTGACCCCAATATAATGCGGAGGTGTGGGATGATGTGGATGGCTCGACATCCCACTTCCAGGTGGTTGGTGATCATTAGACTGCAGTTGAAAAATAAAGCAGGATAAATACGGTAAATTTGATATCATTTTAGAAAAACAAGAATAGTTTGTGAAGTTAACCATAAAAGCATCTGGTGAAAAGATATATATCTCTTAACGTTTTCTCAACAGAATCATAACTTTTCCCAGTTCATGTACAAACGATATTCAATTTCACTTTCGTAAAACTATAAACTTTAATCCTTAAACAGGACACAAAATAATTCGGCGTTTGAAAAGATGCAGATTCATGAGACTTCTTACAACTACAAAAACGACCTACGTGAACAGTATGGCACACTAAGTCACATGGATATAACTCTGCAAAATACATAAGACAGTATTATGTACTTCAAATTATGCATTATATACACATAATCGTGCTCCAAAGGACACCTACTGTGATGGCAACAACAATGAAAACATGCAAAAATGAATCAAGGAAGTTCAATACCATTTAAAAATCTTTGAGAAATCACTTCACACAATTATGTATTGAACAATTACAATTTTAGAGCCTTGTGGGATATTATCAGACAAATAGGCACACTCACTGTGAATATTATACAACACAAAATGCTTACCTGATTGTTGATTGGACTAGGTGCAGCAAGATGGGGAGCGTGTTGAGTTGGTGTGCCGGGATGGCCAGGACTAGGAACAATCCCGCTACCGCCGCAAGAACCTGGACCAACACTACCAGGTCCGGCGGACGAGACTGAATTTGGTCCCGCTGATCCCGAACAGACAGGTGGCCCTCCGCCTTGTTGAGGGGGGCAAGGAGGACCACCCGCTTGTTGTTGCGGAATGGACGGACCGATCCATCTAGGGCGAGGATGCCCTACAATTGCTCCAGAAGGATGATGATGATGGGGCATCATAGGATTTCCGTGCATAGGATGTGGGGGGCCAGACCCTGGTAGCAAATTTGCATGAGGTGGCATCATACCACCACCAACAGGAATCCCTGGATATCCGCCTGCTCCAGGCTGATGAAAGCGTACCGATGGGTGATGCGGAGAAGGTCCTTGAAGCCCAGGTCCAGCGTTCTGTAAGCCACTACCTGGCATTAAAGGCGGTCCGGAAGGCCTTTGTCTCATTGATACTGGGTCGGGACCCGGTGGTCCAAGAGGAGGAGGCATGCCTGGCCCAGCACCACCAGGACCGCTAACACCCGCAGGGCCAGACATTACAGGATGATTAGGCTGCAGGAATGAGAAATACATATATATAATAACGACAGTTAAATATTCATTCCCCTGCCAATGTCTACAATAATAGGAATATAAGAGAACAAGGATGAGCATAAGAAACAAACAAAAATATGAATGTAAAATTAACTTCAGAAAACGAAAAGTCAATTTAGTCAATTAAGACTAAATACCTATTGCGCTCAAAATGAAACAGCTTCAACTATTCTTGAAATTTGTACGAAAGAATGTGTAATTCTAACTTATTAGTTCATTTAGGAGAACCCTCAACTGCAAAGGTTTGCTCTTAGTTTTGAGGACCGAAAACTGCCAGAAATAATTTCATTCATACCAAGATAGGAAATTATCACAGTCCAAAAGTAACATTAAACTAGCAGCGGTTTCACAGATAGTCTATACAATTCCCAGCGGCTTGAGATGAGACCATTTCCTGACTGGGACTGTCTGAATTGTTGACTTTGAATGTATTCATAAGGCTTAGCAGGTTAACTTTAGCTGTCTTCTGGTTAAATGAGTCATTCTGAAGGCATCGTTTGACTGGAAGTGATACCAATCGCAAATCTGCTTAGATTCATGATGAACCGCTCACCGCTTCCAAGTCCATCAACTGTAGAGCCCACATGTTACGGATATGCTGATCTCACCCGATCAAAAAAAATTCTCTACTACTTGGGAAACCTCAAGTACTTATGTGACAGTCATCTCGTCACGTGGTAGGTTGGTGTTCTGGATGATTCAGAAAATGCAACATCCTAGTTAGGAATTATTGCAATTAAGTAGCTCACTTATGCTTCGTGTCTCGTTCGCTTGCGTCTTTCTCGTCCCACCTTTCTCAACACTTGAAATTTTTATAAATTTATCTGGATGCTACATATGAGTGGGTCAGCCTAACAAGAGGATATTTTGTACTGGAACTATAAATAAGTCAAGAACACAAGTCGACAAATAACGACAAACTATGGTAACATTTGTGAGGATAACTTTACATAAGCTGGATAGTAAAATGAAACCACATACAGTGTCTTACAAATTTTCTGATCTAGTCTATCTACTTATTCTACTTTAAATGATTTCCATTAATTCAGTATCATACAACCTCGATGTTCCATCAAAAAACATCAAAATCACCCAAATACGAATATTATCTGAATAAGACAGAATAATAGTGACTGGTGTTTTCGACCCTTCACTAAACCCAAATTTTCCACGAAAATACGTCTAAAATTTAACCACATCACCTCGGACATCACGGCAACATTGTTTCGGCACTTTCAGTTGAACGTATATTTAATCCAGCGAATAAGTTACGAACAAACTGGTATTTACAAATGTATGCAGATAAATTACGTGGGGATGCAGAAAATGAAGACTCCTGTTTGGTGCTGTGCACGCGACAGATATTGCGCAACAATCGATTTCTACATAAGCAGCTGCGCAACGATTACGCGCAGAATGGCAGTAACACCGAGTAACAGTGCCAATGCACTTCTTCCCCTGGTTTGTCAAGCTGACTGTCCTTGAATCTCAAGAAGATATGGTATTACTGTGAAATTTTATTACAGTGTCATCCTAATCCCGTTTTAGTACACGACAAGCGAACGACCTAGAGACTCGAAGTGCAATTGCTTGATTCTGCTGGTTGTTGTAAGTACAAGAACCTGTATGTCTCAGTTGGAAAACCGTGCAATACTTACGACTTACATGTGAATGATAATTCGAAGTGATTTAAAGCATGTCTCAGAACACTAGTGTCTCCACGATGAATCATCATAGGACCAAATCAATAAACAAAACTGCAGGTCACAAACTTGGTGATATCTGTACAGAATTGTTTTCGACGCAGTTTTTGGATGCATCCAAGATATTGTGGCAGTGATTCAGGTTACCACCGCAACACATCAGACCTTCGTTTTACCAATAGCCACAGGATGAAAACCTTGTAGGATTACGTGGGGCACCGGTTCTCTAAATCACCGAATAAGAACATAGGGGCTGCTAATATGGCGTAGTCATTTACACTATGTCAATGAATTTACATCGTAACCAGAAGTGTGATACCAAATTTCAAATTGAAAACAACCAACTCTTTAATTCTCCTGAAGCCAGCCTGATTTAGTCAGCATTCACAGACTTTGTTAGCTTAAATTTCACAAATGAGTGGAGACTGACCGGACATAACACAGAGCATAATTGACGCTAGATGAGTTTATTTACAAACCAGAATAATGGCACATTAGTGACCGAAAGTTTGGCGTTGACAACTTGACGCTGACCTTTGCCGTCTAGGTCTTAGAGGTCACTGCTGATATTGAGAACGTGACAATTCCGAGAATTCATGAAGTGAATGCCAGTTCTGAAGCAAACACAAACACGAATGTGTCACCTAGCTGACGTTAGGATCCAATCAGTTTAAACTGATTCTGCTAACCTATAATCCAGATAGGTTGCATGATGCCCACGAAAGTGGTTAACATCACTCAGTAACTGGAACGTCTAGGCGTCATGACTTTGACATGACTCAGTGCTATTCAAACTGACTATTAAATTTATTGCAGTTAAACTACTTCAGAATGAAATTAAAGTCTATGACAACTCAGACGGTTATCTCTAGACACTCATACATTCGGGACCACAAATCAAAATATACTGGGAAACTTTCAAATTATAATGAATAAAACAGCAATACTGAAATAGTAAACATACGTGTGGTAATCCATTCGGGTAACCAGAATTTACAAAACCCTAATATTGAAATTGTAGAGAAAAAATACTATAACATACATAATCGTGGAATGCTTTCGCTTCGCTAGAATAGTCATGCGTGTCCCGTCTCTCAGGGGCGGCGCTATAAAGGTCCCAAAATACGCTAAGCGAAGTAATACATGAGATAGCAACTTACCTCCACCAAGAATGTAAGAATCCAGGTGGTTCACCAACACTTATTGACTTATCCCATCGAATCTTTAAAAGAAAAATTACAACAAATTAACTTGCCTCTTGAAGGAAAGAGTTGGCAGTCTTCTGTGCACCAATATGCACAAGGTATTCATAAACATATACAGCCAATCTACAGTCATATAGCATGAAATATGCACGCACTTTTCTTTCGACTGAGCATCGGAGGGAATACCGACAGATTTGTTTTTGCCATACATTGTGGGGGAAATAATTAGGAATCACTCAAGAACATCTCCTTTTTCATAAAGAAACAAACACCGTACTAGCTACAGCACACCCAAATCAGTATGCAACCGAAATCCTACTGCCAATGGTTGAACATACGATATAAACAAAGTCAGCCTTTATGTTCAAATAGAGTTATCAGTCTAAGGATTGAACATAAAGAAAGACTACTGAAATTCGAAAGATAAGTAAATACTCAAGGATGGTTAGTTTTTTACATATATCCTTTAAAGAGGTCGTTATTGAATTTCCAATGTTCCAATATAAAACGTTATGATCACATAGTCCTATTTCCTACAATACAAACCTAAATATTCAAAGTTTTGGTAAATCTACGCGTGACAGCTTTGAGTAGATCCTAAAGGGAAACTTTACTGTCAACATCCCAGGCTATAAAATTTATTGAAAAACATGAAATATTGCTACAGGATGATGTACTTCATATTTTCAGGTGAAAGTCAGAGGAAACAGGGGCATAACGCTACCGCTTATTCCTCAAGCACATATCAGACAGTTTATAGTCCAACAGGTCTTTCTGAATGATACCTAGGTAGGGATAAGTGCTGCTAATAGATCAACACCCTATAGCTTCACCGCTTTCTTGTGACCAAACAAAACATTTTTTTATCGAATTCAAAAGAAAAGTATGTTATCGCCCTAATAAATAGTAGTAATGTATTCTCAGCAATCAGATACTTGGAAATCAAGTCCTTCGGTCACGTCTTCCACATGATATATTTCCCTTGTCATTCTCCGTGCATCTCGACGTATTGGAAAAACTTAAGATGACTAGATTTGAGGTGTTGATTTACGCTGTGATGTATACGACACCACAAAATTGTCGGCCCGTAGCCTTCATGATCAGCTAATATTAGGTGGTTAAGTTGAAGGTGCGTGGTCAAGCAACCAAACCATTTAACACTTAGTATTTTTGGCAGTAGTTTTTCCGAATCCGTCGGGCAAAAGTCCTCTGGTTCGCATCGAGAAAGTGTACTCAGAACTGAAAAATGGAATATGCATGCCATTATTTTAATGCATCATACCTGTTCATCGGCGCAGCTTCACAGGCGTTTATAAAAGAAACACCAGGACAGCATAGCTCAGATGAAACGAAAAAACCATAGATATGGGTTCATTCATCATAATGTATTGAAAACACTTTGGGACATCATATGATGCTTAGGCCAAAATTTATTCTTCTGGAACAGGTAACTGCGGCGTGTCCGAAAATCCACCCCGAGTCATTTATATCAATACTGATATTCGTTTCCAAATTATTGTCTTTTGCTCCTGACTTGAGCATCATCCCTGTAAGATATTATACCTTTCTTTAACTTTATCTCTTGTCTTTGTTCATGGTTAAATCTTATTCCACGGTCTTCACACTGTTGCGTGGTGCTCTGTTATTGATTACATGACTTCTCACAAGCTTCAATTTCTCATCCAGATAATCATCTCCATTCCATCTTCAGACGCCAGGATGTCACGTACATCGAGTTCCACTCAAAAGCCTAGTGTATATGTGCTACTTGACGGTCGACCCAGTGTCTGTTCAGAAGACCTGCTTTTCATTCTGCATATCTGTTGGAAAATAGATCCTTGGCTGATTTGTCGCCAGAGTTCTTTATTGATTGTCCCTTATGATCTGCCATCAGATCTTTAGTAGCTACGAATTTAGCTGAGGATGAAAACTGAAGTAAACTTTGAGAAACTTTTCAGTGAGGGGTGGGTCAAGTCCCCTCAACATATACAGACACTGCCAAGGCATTTGTGATAACTCAAATCTTCATGCTCGCGTTAACTGCTGTTGATCTCTAATCTGATTTCAAAGTACTTCGATTTTCGGTATTACGTAGTTTAGACATCCTCATCCCTACCATTCCTCATTGGTTGAAGTAATGCTGCCTGCCCTCAAAGGTAAGAACGATGTCATCCTTTAGGACTCTCCCGTTGATAACTAATGTCTCTTGGGGGTTAGGTTTGCTCATTACCACTGTCTTACCGACGCCAACGTGAAGTCCTGTCTTCTCTGCCTCCTAAGGAGACTTATATTTTGCTAGCAAACATTACACTTTTGCCCGACACAAGACATAAACCGTCTGCGAAATCCGTATATTCTATGGTAATTTTGCCCTCCAATGTATGTCCGTCTTCTCGCTTCCCACGATTTCTCTCGTCATCCAGTGCACTGCAGCCAGAATGACCATCATCGATGGTACGTACTCTTCTTTTCAGAAGCTTCACTGGACCCTCACGAAATAAATGGGTGCGAGGCCTCACTGTTGTTGAATAGGTCATGCAGATGTCAAGCGCACCGCACTTAACTACAGTGAGGCCGCTTTCCTTCGTCTCAGAGGTTGTTCTTTGCATTTCAAAAGCCAATGAAGTTAAGGCACGAAATTCAATGCCAATTTATCCGCTGTTTGAGGATGGTGAGTAGTGTACTGATTCGATCTGCGTGAGTTTTGCCCACCTGGATCCATCCTGTTTCGTCTATCAGAGCACTTCAAAGGCTTTCCATGAAGATGTGGCTTAATATGCTCATTGGAGCGACAGTTCATCATTACGCTCAAACCCCTCTTCTCTAGCAGTCTAGTGAGATAGCCTTCTGTCTAACGTGTCTGCTTCCAGTGCTTCTAGTATGATTCCATCTTATCCTGCTTCTCCCTGGATAGTTTTCAGTAACCTTCTGCCTTCAAAACATCTGGAGAGATCGATGTTGCTACTTCAAAAGGAGTTGTAGTTGGTTCTCTACTCAGGATCTCTTTGAATGAAGCAACTCATAGTTTTCTCCTCACCTCTTTTCAATTGGGTGTAATTCGCTATCTTTCACTGGCTTCGCTCGCCACTGTACAAGTATTTTTGCCCATCAACATTCTATGCTTTTTTACTCAGTGCTCTGTAGGTTACAGTCATCCACGCACTGGTCCGCCCCCTGCTTCACCGTAACTCTGACTTTCAACTGTCTCCAATTGTTATTAGTCAGCCATCCCTTGCCTCAACACTTAAACCTATCTAATACTGTTAATGTAGGCTTCTTTCCACATCACTTTCAGAGAAATTTAATGTCCCTTCACACGGGTTTACTCAGCTATGTAGCCCAATCCCACAGACTTTCCCCTGTTGACTCCACTGAACTTGTCTTTTCAAGGCCACCCGTTGAAACCGAGACGTTGTAGAGTATCTCCAGCTTCTATGGAAGCTTTTAAGCTGATCTTGAAGGTCCCATGCAACATTTGGTGGTTGGAACCCACATACGATTCTGCCCTCCATCGTGTGTCAGTCATCTTAACCACTGCTTTCTTGTAATCATATGAAAAAGAGAAGACGTTCTTGTAATCAGATTGAGGTGAAGTTTGTCTGATCTTCAGTATCTCTGTCTGCATATATATGTGCATTCATGCGCCATCTATAGTTTCTAAAAGAATAAATCCCTATTAGTCTGCAAGGAATCCCCCGTGTCAAGTTGTTTAAGCGATTTTCACTCAATCCTTGATGAATAAACTTTCCGCTTAATCTGCAGTTCAGTCTGATAAAACTGCAAAATGATTCCTGAAGTTAGGAGCTTGTGTCTAAAGCCAGTTTTCGGTCGGTACATGAAAATCAAAACTGGTGACAAATGGAATAAGGAGAATATTTCAAAATAAGATACCTAAATAACCTCACAGCTTCCATTCCACTTTTAAAAGACTGAACTACAACCACATAAGATGATTTGATACCGTTTAATAAAGAAGAGGAGTTGGTAAATTTCGGTGAACCGACGTAGTAGAAAATACATACACAAAGAAATTCTGAATAAAATCGCGAAACAAAGAATTCGTTTTTTTATGTTACGCCTAATATTGCAATTTTAAACAATAAAGTTCTACTCTGTATACCGCGCATCACTTCTCATATATTCATAGTACCACCCTACGCATAGGAGTGTCTGCATCGCAACTCGGTTAACAATAAGCAAATGTTTAGTGGACAACGCATCAGGAGATTACAAAAACACCAAAGTGAAAATCTTCATAATTATCCGCCATTGTCGGTCACTTCTCGTAAACCGTTAATGCCCAGCTCTTGCTACGCTCGGGCTCACGCTGTTCCTTGAAGTTTCTCAGAAACGCTTAGTAATAACGGACGAAAAAACCAAAACACCAATTGGTGACTCGAGGATTCTTTATTGTTACACCAACATGCAAACAATGTTACAACCAAGGTCTGTGAACAAATATTACAATAAAAAATCACAATATTACTTCTGACGGTTTTCTGCTGACTTCTTTCTGAACAGCGACCGATGAGACGATGACTGTCGTATTGATGCCTCCGCGAAAATTGGGGAAGTTGGTTTTGAGCAAACAACCAAGAATTGATCGTTCAATCTTCAACTCCATTGACACTCCCCGGCAAAATACCGATCCATCCCTTTTTTCCATCACGACCAATACACGTTGACTTGGATGCCATTGCGAGAACCTGGGTCACATGGACAGAGCTGAAATGGAAAACAAACAGAAAAGCCAACACACCAAAGCATACCCATAGCACAATCTCACACATCAATGACGACCTGCGCCTCCAGACAGAGACCTCCTCTTGACATCTTGCAACACAATCGCCATTTGCTAGAATGACTCTTGCAGAATGCAAAGTGACCATAGCACCACCTCATGATACTCCACGCACATCCTCTTAATTACTCACTACCAATTACCACTGCAATCGCTTGTCACTCATTCTGCCTCAATTCTAGTAACGATGACGTATGCGAGCCTCAGTCGTCTACGCTCCAGCTCCCCGGCGTGTGGGACCACAGCTAACAACTATCTCCGTGTGCATTTCATTCTCAGCAATAGCCTAGCCTCCCCGGCGTATACGACCCATCTGCTGTCTCTAACATCAATCAATTCATTCACGAACGTAGAAGACTCGAAACAACTTCAGAAGTCAGCACGACGAAAATTTTAACAAAATTATTTAATAACAACAAGGTACGAAAACAACGAGTAAAGACAATGAATCCAAAAACACCAAATGATATGACACACCACACATATATACAAACAGTACACACAAACTCGCAGATCGTGTCTCGATGGAATTCCTTTGAAGGATTT